TATATATATGTAGTATGTATATACAATTCTTAAACTTTTTAGCTTCAAAATATCATCCAAAGACAGCATTGATAGAAAAAATCTCCTCAAAAGGCAGAAAATAGAAGGGGAAATGAGAGCATTGCAAACAAGGTCTCCCAACAATCAGTAAAATTATACAAATTGTTTTATGACATTTTAGTAATGGAGACAATAGAGGAGAATTTCCTGTGAGGGGTATCTTTTTAATCATTAGAAATAGGGATATTTGCTATAGGGGCAACTTAATCCCTCACCAACTCCTTCAATATGTTTAAGTGCTAATGGCCATTGGTCCAGCAATGAGAAACTAATAAATCATTTTCTTCCATGGGGGGGTTAATGTGATATCACACAACCTTTCTGTAATGAGATTTGGATAAGTTCACAACATCGTGGTTATTGGAAACCAGTGGAACTTCAGAGACATTCGCACTATTGTACTCATTGTCGCATTTTTGGGCATTCCTCTTCCCACTTCTATCGATTAAATTTCCACTTAAAATTATTTGGTAACAATGTAGCTTCTGAGCCACAAATTGAGAATATTGTGATTTCTTCAACTCATGTTGACGCTCAACCCGAGGACCCTTCTGGCATGGATCCACTACCTGATCACCATGTTGATTTAAACATTATTAATCACACTGTTAAAAACCTTACTAGTGTGAGTGAAAATCCATCTGCTACTTTGCAAGATGGTCCTCACTCACCTATGCTTAATCCTTCTGTTTTGCACGATAATATTGATACACATGGTGGCCATTATTTACGTATAAATCATTCTCATATGAGGCCTTCTTGAGATAATGCAATTCTATATTTTGTTGATCATACAAAACCAATTATGCATGAGGCTATTAATGCTTTACAAAACTAAATGGCAAGTTCAAAAATCTCAAATAAAGAGATTCAAGTGGAAACATGAACTTTCACACTTGAATAAAGGCAACATCATTAAAGAGGGTATTTATTTCTATGATGGGGATCATGTGGGTAGCTTTCCTAAGTCTTCTAGGAGGGCTACCCTGAGGCATCATGTTTAGGCTTATGAAATAGAATATTATGGGAGTTACAGACCCTAACTCTCTTAATATACTTAAAGACTATTGCAGGGTCCATAAATTTAATCTTTTGCCATTTTTGAATCTATGATAGCTTCTAATAAGGAGAAAAACCTTAAGAAGTTTAAACATTATAATCATTATTGCAATGTAGAAAAAAAGGTTTGGCTTTTATGAAAAAGAAATATTCGGATGAATTTTATTGAAGATGATAAATAGAGTTTTTTTACTCACTTTCAATTGGAAGACTTTAAAGGTTGGGCCACTATTATCTATATAAGCTCTATTTTGCAAGATAAGTTCTTGCTGTGAAATCAACTTATTCAAATGAGACAGACTATCACAGAAAGTTAGATTGTAGTTAGTGATTTCAACATGATTATGAAGCCTAAGGAAAGAAGAGGTGGAGGTAAATGTGATATAAATCTCATTAATTAATTTTGTGATAATATTTCTGTTGCGGGACTTTTTTATATGGGCTTCTCTGGCTTACCTTATACTTGGAGGAGAGGTTCACTCTCCCAACGCCTAGACAGTTTTTTGGTAACCACTATTTTGTCAATTATTATCCTATTTCCACAGTTCATCACTTGAGTTATGCAGCCTCAAATCAAAATCCTATCATGCTCACTTTTGCTTTTCATCAGAAGCCTACTACTTTTAAATTCAAATTCTTTAATATTTTTATTAATCATGGTAGTTTTTTTCAGTCTTGTTCAGCAAGCATGGAAAATTGTGGGTGTTGGGGAACCTTGGTATGTTCTCTCGAAATTACATAAGAAATTAGCTAGTAGATTGAGAAGGTGGAACTTTCATGTTTTTTGGCAAAGTTCATCACATGGTCACTGAGGTTCAAAGGATGGTTGATTCATTAGAACATCAGGTGATCTCTAATCCCTCTCTTGAGAATGAAGTGGCTAAGACACATACTTCACTTCTTGAGGCTGTCTCTCTCGAGGAACAATTTTTATAGCAAAAGGCTAATGACATAATCTTTACAAGTGGGGACTGTGACACCAAATATTTTCTTGCCTCCATTAAGCGCAGAAGAAACATTAATAACATGCTGCAAATAAAATCCCAATATGATTACTGATGAAGAAGGTATTGGTAACAGTGCGGTGTAATTTTTCACTGATTTGTTTACTTCTAATACTCAAGTGCTTCCCGTCAACTCTACTCTTTTTGATGCTGAGAGGGAATATGTGGCTAGTCTTTCTCTTGCTTCCATTTGAACAGAAGATTTTCTTGGATTTTAAGGATATAAATCCTAATAAGGCTCTTGGACCTAATGGTATTACATCAGATTTTTATGTGAATTGTTGGAGAATTATAAAAAAGGAGGCTATTCTTGCTATCCAAAGTTTATTCCTTGGTGATAACCTGGGCAAATTTTTCACCTCAGCTTTAATAGTGCTCATCCCTAAAGCGAATGATAAAAAGTGTTGGGATAATTTTAGGCCTATCTCTCTTACCTTGGTCATCTCTAAACTTATCAGTACATTGATTAATTCTTGTCTCCAAGCACATCTCCCTATAATCATTTACCCTCATCAATCTGCTATCATTCAGGGGAGAGAAATAACTAATAATATCTTGCTTGCACAAGAAATGGTAGAAGATTTAAATAAAAAGTACAAAGGTAAAATTATGGTTATAAAATTTGATATTAAAAATGCTTTTAACCTTATAAGTTGGGATTTTATCCTTAATATTTTGATAGCTAGAGGCTTCTCGCCCAATTTTTTCCACCTTATAAAGCATTGGTTGGAGAATAATAATTATAGCATCTTGGTAAATGTTAAGTAGCATGATTTTTTCTCTACAAAACGTGGAATCAAGCTTGGTGATCCTTTATCACCAAAAATATTTATCTTGGCTTTTGACTATTTCTCAAGTTTCATGAATAATTTGAATGAGATACATCCTCATATTTTATATTCTCACAAACTAAAGATTATGGTTAGCCACCTAGCTTATGTTGATGATGTTATTCTCCTTTTCAACGCTACCAAAGCTGATATTAAAAGTATCATGCATACTCTAATTGATTTTCAAAAAAACATTTGGTTTATTCTTTAATAATGCTAAATGTCATCTTTATTTTGAGAAAAAAATGTCAAATCTACCATTCTTAATTGAGCAACCTCCTTTACTGGTTGCTCTACTGCTGCCTTACCCCTCAAATATTTTGGAGTTAATATCCTCCATGGTAGGAGGAAGCAAACTCAATTTGATGTTGTGGTGGAGTGTATTAAGATAAATATTGCTGATTGGTGTAATGTTTTGATTTCTAATGGGGGTAGAGTTACTTTATTGAAAAGTCTTCTTCAAAGTATACCTTTATATGTTATGCAAGTTTTAAACTTGAAAAAGAGTACTAAAAAAACTCTTGAACATATTTTCAATAAGTTCCTTTGTTTGGGTGGGGGACAATAAAAAATTTGGGTAGGTTGACATAAAGTCAGTAAACCATGCACTTCTGTAGGCCTTGGTTTTAAAAATCTACAGCATCTTGCAAAGATTAATTTTGCAAATTATGGTTCAAATTTAGAGTCGATACTTCTTTGTGGGATAAATTTCTTCATTATAAGTATTGCTCTTAGTTGTACCCTTCTATTGTGAGTTCGAAGGTTGGATACTCCAGAATTTTGAAATCTACTCTAAAAGTGAGATCTCTTGCTAGCCATTATATTTACTAGGATATTGGGAAAGGTAAGGTTTAAAATTAGTGTATTACTGATTTTCATGATATTAATCCCTCTATGCAAGAAAATGATTTATTGGTCTCTCATTGTTGGACCAATGGCCATTATTGAAGGATTTGGTGGAGGATTATGCTGCCACTATAGCAAATATACCTATTTCTCATGATAAGAAAGATGCCCCTCACTAGAAATTCTCCTCTAATGTCTCCATTACTAAAACGGTAGACAAAAATTTGCATAATTATACTTATTGGAGGTGGGGAGACCATATTTGGAATACTCTCATCTCCCCTTCCATTTCCTTTATTTTATGAATACTTTCTCTATCAATGCTGCCTTTGGATGAGATTTTGAAGCTAAAAGGTTTAAAAATTGTCCTTAAATGTTATATCTGTAGTAATGCTAAAGAGATTTTATCACATCTTTTTTATGAATGCTCCTTTTCCAAATCTTGTTGGTTGGGGATTGAGAGGCATCTCAGTATCCTTTGGCGACTCTGCTCTCGGTTAGAGGATTATATGGCTGCTTGAAAAGTTTCACAACATAATTAACTTACATATTTCATTATGGTGGTTCTTTTGTTTATTTGGTCGGCTAGAAACAACTATAAGTATGAGAACTCCCCCCTATCCCCTCCCTTACTATTTATCATATACTCTCTAACTACTATATGGTGTGCCATACTTTAAGGCTAAACAATTTTGAGCCTTTGCAACAATTGGGTAGGAGGCCATCTTCTGTCAAATGGTAGCCTCCTGGTGGTGGTTGCATTAAACTTAATAGTGATGGCAGCTGGA